AGCTCTATGTCAGAAAATCATAAGTTTATCTATCATACTATCATTTGGAATACAAGCAAAAGTGGATCGTTTAGTTACAGTCCAGTTAAATTCAGGAATTCCAATTTTCTCTTCCAGACCTATAGTTTTCTCAATGGTGGAAGCCATTTGCAAAAATTCTTTTGTGATGTTATATATACTTATCATTAATTTCTAAAGAATACTTAGTTCTCACAGAAAAAGTTGTCCAGAAATGCTCAGTAAAAAAATACATCACTTTCCCCAGTCTTTGACAGATTAGTGTTGGAGTATCTGAGAAATCTGGCTGGACCACCATCGCTCAGTGACATCCGAGAGGGGCGCAGTACCTCCATTAAGCTCAGCCAACCACACGCCGGACAAAGCTCCCGGATTAGTGTCTGACCTCGCCTGAGGATTGTGCGAAGCGAAACGGAGCAATGATGGCGAGGGGAAGCTTTGCGATGCGACTGTGCAGCCGGCACACCTATAAATAATTTGGCGGGATCCGTGGCAATTGTGTGCTTGATTAATCCTTGAAAGGGTTGACCTCTGAAGGGGCATCCTTACACCTGAGCCCACGCAGGGACAGTTCATTAATGGTACATGGGGAGGGATGGGAGGACGGAGATAGAAATATTATTTTCTGCTACCTGCAGTATTGCAAAATCTTGTCTACAGTTGAAACCAGATATGCTTTTCCAAAAAAGCTGGCCGGGGGCCAAGATGGGAATAGCTGGTATTTACATACATGTATTTCATATGTTTTGTTTATTGAGATTAAACTTTGTTTAAAATTTTGTTTTCAAATTTTGTTTATATGTGACATGTCAACTAGAATCTTTGCAAGCTGATATGTAGCTGAATGTAAGTTGTCTGAATATATTTCACCTTGAACTATATTAGACAATATGGCAGTACATGTATCATAAAAGTGCATTTCCATTCTTTTGTAATCTTTTATAATCATAATTGAAATGCATGTGGCATATTTTATTACACTTGTATGTATTTACCCCATCTGTTGCCTATTAGTGTTTAGCAGCTAGATATACAATTATGGTGGTTTTGCATGTTCTCATATGTACTGTACATCATAATTGATGGGTTGGTAATTAAAAGTAAATGCAATTCTGTTATAACAGCAAACATGCCAGCTACTTTACTGTATATAGCAAAGGTCATTTAAAAGTCTATTTTTCTATTTGTAATCTGTACAGTAGGATTCCATTTCCTCTTATATATAACAGTTACATGTATACACAGAAGGACATCCCAAAACAAGGCAGGGCTCATTTTCGCTGAGTGAGGAAAGAACTGAAAAATAACTGGGGTCTGTTTGGGATTTGAATCCAGAACCTTTACACTCTAGGTCAACAACTCTAATAATAAGGCCTAGAAAGAAAAGGTTGTTTCCTGTTTCAGTCCTGAAAAAATTAGGGTCGGTAGGTAGGGATTATCTAGATTTTGGCAATCTCTAGTGATTAAACATTACAATACAGTGTAATAAAGTAAAACATGCATGAGGACACTTATATTTTCAATGTCAATGTTGGAAAACTGATTGTACAATGTTTTATCACTCAGGTGTCAGATCATGGAGCTATAAAAGGTCAATCAGCTCAAAAAAATGTCCCTTGCAGGGGTCAACCAAAAAAAGTCTAGGGTCTGCAGTTTTTTTTAGGGTCGGTCGGGAAACAAGAAACACAACATTTTTTTCGTAGGCCTAAGGCCACACCAATTTAATTTCTTGGTTAATGGATTTTTCTAGAAAAATAATGGAGCGGGCGGCGAAAAAAATATAAAAAATAAAAACAGGCCTAGGCATCCTATTATGGCCCAAAATGGTACGTTAGGAGCCATGAAGTAAAGACACCAGGCTGGTTCAAAATCTAAACAATAAATTTTGAACTTTTAATTATACCATCGCATTGAAAGATGGAATAACTGTAACAACTAGGATGAAAAGGACTGTTTTCAACTGTTCAGGGCAAAATATGAGCATTTTGCAGTTGATTCTGGATTTTTATTTTTATTTGCAAATCAGAAAAAAATGAAGCGTCGAATCCGTTAACCAAGAAAATAAATTGGTGTGGCCTTAAGTTTTTTTAAAATTCTTTTGTAAACAATTTTTCTTAGAAAAAAAAAACAATTATACATGGCACTGGCACAGTAATGCAATAAGTAACTAGGAAGTTAAGAATCAGAAAACATTGATAAAATATGCAATTAATAAAGAATTGCGCAGAACCCGTAGAAACTTAACAGTAATAAAAACAATGCATAATCATCATCATTGACGTCATAAGAGATATTAACAAATTGAATGTAGTTAAAGTAACAGATAGCAAAAATATAATATATCCTAAAAT